TATGTTTTTTTTAAAAAACCTCCTAAGTAGGGTTAATTTTATGGCTGTCACTCAAGTTGAGCCAGGTGTATTTCCTCATTTGTTATCATCTCCTTTTCTTCCTTGTGGTTTAATCTTGCTGAGTGATGTCTCTCCAAAAAATTTGAGGATATCCCTATCATGAGGATGGCTGTAGCTACTTGACACTTTGCGCTTGACTGTTTGGAGTAATTTGACAGTAACACCAAGAGGAAAAAAGAGAGTGAGTCAGGGGTGGGACATTTCTAATTTTATCAGTTAATAATTTACGAGATTCTAAGGGGCACTTAGAAGTGGGAGTCAGTTTAGATTATCTTCTCCCTCCTCTCGTACGTCCCATTTGTCCCCCCCAGGTCCCATCGATCCAGTCTGGCTGTTGACCACTTGTTGAGTGCATCCCAATTGTGGGGCCTCCTGCGACAAACCCCATTCTTTTTTTTTTTTTTTTTTTTTTTTGCGGTACGCGGGCCTCTCCCTGTTGTGGCCTCTCCCGTTGCGGAGCACAGGCTCCGGACGTGCAGGCTCAACGGCCATGGCTCACGGGCCCAGCCGCTCCGCGGCATGTGGGATCTTCCCGGACAGGGGCACGAACCCGTGTCGCCTGCATCGGCAGGCGGACTCCCAACCACTGCGCCACCAGGGAAGACCCCATTCTTTTTCTTAAACTATGCCATTAGCTTCCTATCTGATTTCCCTGAAGTGGATCTTGTGGGTCTGAGCATGTTGCTCTGTAACAGTTAGGATCCTTTTGGTAGCCAGTGATTGAAAATGAAAATTGAAAACCAAAGTAGCTGATGGAAAAAAAAAAGGAATTTATTGTCTCATATAACTGAATTGTGCAGGGGTAGATCTCAGGAGAGGCTTGACATGGCCTCAGAAAATGGACATAGTTTCCATTCCTGGCTTCTCTCCCAGGGTTGCTGCTGCCCTCCTAGAATGGCCTTATGAGACTTTGGAAACGGTGCTCTTCCCTGAAATAAGCATCTAAGTTATTACACTTTATTTCTCTGATTAGAACAATGATTACAAAGTTATTCTGTAAAGTTATACAGATTATTCTACCTGAAATCATAAAAATTAGTAATTAGCTCCAAGTTAATGATGAGAAAATTGAAGTCTGTACAATTTGATAATTTGTTGTAAAATAGTTACACTTCTTGCCTTTGGTATGAACGCTTATTTGCTTCAATAACTTGTTTTCTATTAAAAAAAGGTTGCTAGATTTGACAGTATTTCTTGTAACTTTGTAGAATTTAAATATTTTAAAATATAGTTTACTGTTGAGAAGCTACATTCTTCAGTGGGGAGAAATATAATACCTTGGCATTTCATCTTTGAATCTGGAACATTTAAAAGTAACATGCATGTAGAGAGCTGCTAATTTTTTTAAAAAATTAATTAATTAATTTTTGCTGTGTTGGGTCTTTGTTTCTGTGTGAGGGCTTTCTCTAGTTGTGGCAAGCGGGGGCCACTCTTCGTTGCGGTGCGCGGGCCTCTCACTATCGCGGCCTCTCTTGCTGGGGAGCGCAGGCTCCAGACGCACAGGCTCAGTACTTGTGGCTCACGGGCCCAGTTGCTCCGCGGCATGTGGGATCCTCCCAGACCAGGGATCGAACCCGTGTCCCCTGCATTGGCAGGCAGATTCTCAACCACTGCACCACCCGGGAAGCCCGAAGCTGCTAAATTTTAACAGCGGTTAATTTTCGTGCTGAAGAAATCCCTTCGACAACAAATAAACAGTGCTGTGGTGTAAGTGACAGCCCACGTGGAATTCCTTACAGGATCGTTTAAAGATTTAAGGGCATAATGCAGAGAAAGTGTAGATACCGTGCCTAAGCCCTCAGTCAATATTGGCTATAATTACTGTCAATCATTACTCAGACTTAGGTCATGGAATCCACAGCCTTTTCTCCTTTTGTCCTTCTGGTTCTCAGTGGTTGCTCTAGGATTCTATAGAGAAGAGCTTTGGACAAGCAATCTGGTTGGAAAGAGCTCTGTAGGACTTGGCTTGAAGCAGTGTTTGCACAGGAAGCTCATCCCTTCTTCACACTGGGATTTCGTGCTTGGGTATTGGGGTTGGGGGGAGGGCTAAGGGAGATGACAGTGGGAATGGGCACTGAAGTTTTCTCACTACATTACTGGGTATGTCCCTGCTGCTTTAAGTTCATCTTGGGCTCCTGGCTCTGGCTTTCTGAATTGTTTGCAGTCATCAGTAATCAGCTTTCTGTTCACTTCCATCTACTGGTTCCATTTACTCAGATCTCTGACTTCCTTGAATCCCTAGGCTGTTGCCCCTTCCAGATCTCTAGGAGCTGGTCCACCCCATCCCCCCATATTTCTGGCCCGGCTCCTCTTTCCCCGTTCACTCTTCCCTCCCATTGGGGCGACTGGCTCTCCGATTCCTGAGAGCATGGGTGTCTCAGGGTATTCGCACACATTCTTCCCTCTGTCTGGAATGCCCTGTCCCTTCTTGACTGCCCAGCAAACTTCTCATCCTTTGAACACTCAACTCTGAGTCAAGAATGCCTTCCGCTAAAAACAATAATATAATAATAATATAATATATAATAATAATAATATAATAACCTATTGTCCAAGGCTTTGGGTGTATGGTCAAATAATTACATAATGGGATTACAAAAGCCAGTAGCAGACTCTGGGTTCATACTTTTCTTGCTGAACAGGCCTCTCCTACATATGCCAAAATAACAACAAAAGCTCCTATCAGCAAACTCAGGTGTTGTCCTGGTCATAGGATGGGACATCCCAAAGATGAAAGCTTTCATGGATGGGGAAGATCTTGGGCCTGACTTCCTAACCTGGTATCCAGGTATTATAAAGAAATTTCAGCTCATTTCAACATTGAACAGTGGGTAAGAATTCAAACTCCAACATCAGAAGGCTTGAGTTTAAGTTCAGGTTCTTACATTGATCAGTCGTGTAGTTTGGGGCAAGTTGCTTACCATCCACATACCTCATTTTGCTCCTCTGTAAAATGGGTCTAATAATACTGCTAGTGTAGTAAGTTATCAGGAGAGGAGTAAGTTAACCAATATACGTGACATGGTTAGATGAGTGCCTGGCATATCATAAACATTCTAGAAGTGTTAGCTAATGCTGTGCCAGATTCAGGAATGCTTGGGGTGGGGCCCCTGGTGGGAAATCCGTAAATTGTGTAAGAACACCCGAGCATACTCCTGAACAATTACTGGATATCTTCAAAACTGCATCCCTCTATTGTAAGTAGTTTTTAAGTTCCCTCTGCCAACGGAAGGTACTTAAACGGCATTATTAGTTATAAGGCGGGGTGGGGTAGGGTGGGGAATAATTACAAAGGAAGAAACTTATTAGAGAGCAGTGCCCAGTTCCTTTCCGGAAATGTACGTATTCTCAGTCCTCAGAAAGAGGGGAAAGTTGAATTCTGAGACAGTAATTTGGAAGCATTCAGATATCACATCCCTCAAACACTAAAATATAGCTGGTTAGTAGAAAGGACACATCTATTCTATAGTTTATTTACTTGCTAATAAAATCAGCATTTTATTTCATTCTATAAGCATCATAATAGTTATTGTATGTCCTATGAATACATTTCTATATCAGTAACAGTTTGGACTCCTAGATTTTTTGTTCTTAATGAATGTCTTCCTAATTATCCTTTAAATGTTTAGTATAAGCAGATTATGACACTCAAATTGCATTAAGAGATTAATTACATGGTACAATCCACTTCTAATAATCGACAGATGGATCACTTGTGGTTTAAATTAGCCTTGAATAATTCTGCTTTGCAAATTCTTATCAACTAATCTGAGAGGGTACCAGATCCAGGATCTTTTGTTATCTTTTCAATCAATTAATCACCAAATATTGAGTGCCTATAATGGGCCAAGCCTTGTGCTGGGGCAGTAAGATGAATTATCCACACTATCCCATCACTCAAAGAGTTTATAATTTAGTAGAGGACATTGCTTCATTTTAGCCCTGAAGCAGAAAGACCTTTTAATCCAAAACATCTCAATTCTGGGATGATGTCTGGCATTTTGAAAAATTTCAAAAGGGTAACTTGATTTATGCTGTTCTTTTGCATCAGACACAGATGAGAAGCTGTGATGTAGGGAAGAACTCTGAGCAGAGGAGCAGAATGAGAAAAATGGACCATTTAGAAAACCCTTCTAAACTGTTGGATTAGTTTCCTAGGGCTGCCTAAACAAATTACCCCAAAAGTGATTGCTTTAAAATAGCAGTTATTCGTTCTGTCACAGTTGTGGAGGGCAGATATCAGAAATCAAGGTGTCAAGCGAGCCATACTCGTTCTGGAGGCTCCAGGGGGAGAATCCGTTCTTTGCTTCCTCCAGTTTCTGGTGGCTCTCAGCATTCCTTGGCTTGTGGCTGCATCACGCCAATCTCTCCCTCCCTGTGTCTCCTTCTCTTATTAGGATACTTGTCATTTGATTTAGGGCCCACCCAGATAACCCAGGAGGATTTCCTCATCCCATGATCTTTAATTACACTGGCGAAGATGCTTTTTCTAAAATAAGGTAACATTTTCGGGTATTAGGGACTAGGATGTGGATGTATCTTTTTGGGGGGCCACCATTCAACCCACTACAGTTGTCTTTACAGTATATTTTCAACATTTTTATGACTGTTCTAAATCTTCAGAAAAATCTCACGTACCCTGCTAAAATACAGATGCCAGAATATCTCCTCTAAAACAGTAATTTTGAGCTTCTCTGTTATCTCTCCACTTGTATGAATAATTAAAAATTCATTACGTATCCACCAAACACGTTTTTTTAAAAATTTTTTTTGGTACGCAGGCCTCTCACTGTTGTGGTCTCTCCCGCTGCGGAGCACAGGCTCCAGATGCGCAGGCTCAGCAGCCATGGCTCACGGGCCCAGCCGCTCCACGGCATGTGGGATCTTCCCGGACCGGGGCACGAACCCGTGTCCCCTGCATCGGCAGGCGGACTCTCAACCACTGCGCCACCAGGGAAGCCCCCACCAAACACGTTTTAATTTCATAAATATTTTGCAGCTATTACATTTTACATGCATTGCTATTATAACATACATTAAACTTGGAGAAGAAATAGATTTGTAAATCATATAAGGAATACAAATTCCCAAACTGTGACACGTCTTAGCTAGAAATGACAACTATTTTTATACCACACTTGGGACAATGATGCTGAGGCACTGGGATTTTCTTAAAGTTTCAGATCACATATGTGCTATCTGGTCATGGAGAAGGACAGGAGAAAGCCATGGAAAGTCTTACATCACAACTTCCAGTTTCCAGTTGGGCATGTAAGGAGCTAGAACGTCATCACTCCTGTCCACACAACAAGAAGAAAGCCGAACAAACTAAAATCGACAGCTCTTCTTAGATTCATCAGAGAATTGACGTCACAGGGCAAACCACTGTTCCTGAAGTTGGAGAGACAAATAGGCAGATACAGATAATTACAACTTACCAGAGCAGATGCTTGTGAACAGAAACTGTAATTGATGAATCGCTGGGGGCTCAGTGGGGACTTGGCCGAGGGTTAAAAACTTCAGGAGGACCTTGTCTTAGGAGGGCCCCAAACTTCTGTGAGTTTTACCTCCAGGAACCCTACCAGGTTCTCACAGTGAAGATCAGAGAAAAATCTCCTTCTGCTTCTGGTAGGGGAGGGGAAAAGGGGCCATTTTGGAATAAGCCAGAGCATTCTGTTCTTCTTAATAAGACCTGAAGACCTGGCTCTGCTTTACCAGAGCCTGATTTCCCCGAGGAAGGGAAAAACTCAACTTCAGCTTACTCTAGATGACTTATATTACATCTAAGTAATATAAGGGGAGGTAGGGGAATATGAGAAATACTTGGGATGGTCACAGCCAAAGGGCAGAAGCTCACTAAAAGACTGAGACCTAGGGCTTCCCTGGTGGCGCAGTGGTTGAGAGTTCGCCTGCCGATGCAGGGGACACGGGTTCGTGCCCTGGTCCAGGAAGATCCCACATGCCGCGGAGCGGCTGGGCCCGTGAGCCATGGCCGCTGAGCCTGCGCGTCCGGAACCTGTGCTCCGCAACGGGAGAGGCCACAACAGTGAGAGGCCCGCCTACCACAAAAAAAAAAAAAAAGACTGAGACCTAATCATAGGACTAGAGCATGCTTCCCCTCCCCCATACCTTACCATCACATCAATAGGACTTCTATAATAACGGGGGAATGCTACTGAAAGAAGTGTACCTCTCAGACCTTATTTAAGAAGTCTCTAGGGAAACCCAAAGACAACAGGGGAGACAAAACAAGGACATCAGGGAAAGTTTCAACCTCTGACACCTATGGCTGAAGAAAGAATCAGTGAGTTTGAAGAAATGTTGATAGAATCTTCTAAAACAGAAGTTCAAAGAGAAAAAAAAATGAAATAGACAAAACAAAATATCCAAGAACTCTGGGACCACTACAAAACACATAACATATGTGTAATGGGAGGACCAGCAAGAAAAGAAAAAGAATGAAACAGAAGCAATATTTGAAGCAATAATGACTGAGAATTTCCCCAAATAGTGTCAGATGGCAAACCACAGATCCAGGAAGCTCAGAGAACACCAAGCAGGGTAAATGGCAAAAAACCCCATATCTAGGCATATTATATTCAAACTGCAGAAAGTTGAAGACAAAGAGATATCCTGAAAGAAGCCAGAGGAGAAAAATACCTTACCTATAGAGGAACAAAAATAAGAGTCCCATTGGAAATCTCTTCAGAAACCATGCAAACAGAAAAGAGAGTGGAGTGAAACATTTAAACTGTCAGAAGAAAACCCCAGCAACCTAGGATTCTGTATCCAGTGAAAGTATCCTTCAAAAGCGAAGGAGAAGGACTTTTTCAGACAGTCAGAGATTGAGGAAGTTTGTTGCCAGTGGACCTGCCTTGCAAAAAATATTAAAAGAAGTTCTGTAGAAAGAAGGAAACCGATATATATGTCAGGAACTCAGGTCTAAATAAAAAAGGAAAAGTGTTAGAGAAGGAATAAAGGAAACTAAAATAAAACATTTATTTTTCTTGTTCTCCGTTGATCTAACACATAACAGTTTGTTCAAAATAATAACAGCAACAATGTATTCAGTGAGTTTAATTTATGGATAAGTAAAATGACTGACAGCAATGTTATAAGGGGTAGAGGGGAAGTACTGGGAATTCTCTGTTGTAAGTTGTTTGCACTACCCGAGAAGTGGTATAATGTTATTTGAAAGAGGATCTGGGTTAGTTGTAAATGTATGGTGCAAACTCAAGGGCAACCACTAAAAAAAGGTTGTAGAAAGTATAACTGATATGCTAGGAGAGGAGAAAACAATGGAATCATATGAAATGCTCAAAAGAGAAAAGAGTGAAAGACAAAAAAGGAACTCAGAACAAAGGCAACGAACGAATAGCAAACAGTTACAGATATGGTGGTTATTAACCCAAATGTATTGAAAATCTTTTTTTGATTTTTATAATAAAAAATACTTGATTTTTATAATCAAAGCCACTCCCTAGTGGGGTGATTAAAAGCAAGGGCTGCAGCCAGACTGTCTAGTGTTCTGGGACTTTCTCTTATTTCTTTTTTTTTTTTTGGCTGCATTGTGTCTTCGTTGCTGTGTGCAGGCTTTCTCTAGTTGCGGTGAGCGGAGGGCTACTCTTCGTTGTGGTGCGTGGCTTCTCGTTGTAGTGGCTTCTCTTGTTGTGGACCACGGGCTCTAGGTGCGCGGGCTTCAGTAGTTGCCGCACACAGGCTCAGTAGTTGAGGTATGTGGGCTTAGTTGCTCTGCAGCATGTGGGATCTTCCCGGACCAGGGATTGAAACTGTGTCCCCTGCATTGGCAGGCAGATTCTCAACCACTGTGCCACCAGGGAAGTCCCTCTCCTATTTCTTAAACTCTCTCTGTCTTAATCATCATTTGAAAGGGTAGAATAATAGTACCAACCTCATAGTGTTGTTGTAGGGTTTAAATGAGATAATATATAAAAAACCTTTAGTACAGTGCCTGGCACATGATAAATACTCAGTTAATGCTACCTATGATTATTTTCTGACAGAATTAGAAAAAAATGTTTAAGTACCTACTATGTGTAGACATAATATAGGTGATAATCTGATACAATTTGAACTGTGTTTATTTCATTAAGTAAAAATGCTACATGACATATGTGTATGGAAAATTAGAACATACATCAAAAATGTGTGTGTGAGAGAGAGAGGCAAGAAAAAAGTCTACCATTCAGCAACAACCATTGTCAATACCTTGATAAACACCCTTTCAGATTCTTTTAATGCATATAGACATAAACAATTTTTAAAGGGAATTATTAAGGATGTTCTGTTTTGTCTGCTTTTACATTTTACATTCAGTATATCTCTAACGTCTTTTTATGTATAAAGACACATTTTTAAGTTTTAAAAGTGTGCACTAATTTTTATCAGCAGTATTAAAATTTTAAAGTCACTTTTGCTTCACTGTTTTATAAAATAATGGGAATGTAGAGAGATGCAAATGGGCATTACAAAACAACAGTTCACTCACCAGAAACAGAAGCCACCGTAGACCAAATCTCTGATGCCTCTAGTGAGTTTCCCTGGGAATTCAAGCAGCATCAGAAATATAATTGACTTTTCCATTTTCAGCTAAAATGTTGAAAAGTAAAAAAAAAAAGAAAAAAAAGACAAAATGAAAGGTCTACACAGGCCAGACATGAGAATTTTCCAAATAGCAAAATCTATTGCATATACTGCTGGAATTTTTATGAAAGCCATTTATGTGTTGTAGGGTCTGAGGACAATGGAGCAGAAAGAGAAGTTGAAATTCTGTATGCTTAGGTTGGTGGTGAACTTTGAGGAGACCCACCCTCCTTCATTCCCTGACCACCGGGAGTTTCAGGGACCTGTATTTCTCCCCCATCAGCTTTTGACCCCGGGGTTTTAGCAGTCTCTCTGGGAGCTGGTGACCTCTCCACACCCTTGGGCTCTTGTTAGCAGCTGGAACAGGGCCTGTGGGATGAGAAGCTTGGGTGTTACTAGACACATTCTTTAAAATGTGAACGAAACAAAAGCCCACACCCTAAAATCTGTCCTGAAAACTGATCACTACTTCCTCTTGGTTCCACCTTTCTCTCTAAGGGAGCAAATGAGGGCCCATTTGAGTGACAAGTGGAGCTGCCAGTTTGAACTGGTGGGGTAGAGCCAGGGGACCCGGAATAATGTTAGGCAGCGGCCTCAAAAACAAGGCACCTTTATGCTTTATGGAAGAGTTTTCTTGTTAAAATAATATTTATTGTAGAAAATTTGTACAATATTTGCAAAATATAGATGGAAAGGAAAATGTAAACCAGCTATAATCCCACAGCTGCGGGCGGACATTTTAGTATACACCCGTCCAGCATTTTCTGTGCACATTTACCTATATAAAATGAACAAAAATGAGATCATAGTGAACATATGTTTTTATAACCCGCTTTTTTTGCTTAACAAAACATCAGAAACATCTTTTCATGCCATTAAACACTCTTTAACATTATGTTTTACCTTTTCACTTTAATTTTTACAAGGTACTCCGTTACAGCATTAAGTCTCTGTTTTGTTTTGTTTGAGCTTTAATACCTGTTTTTATTGGACGAAGCTGCTGTAGCAGCAGCAGGAGGGGCTCAGGTTTCTTTTTTATATAACGAAGGTGCTTTCCTTCTGCCATCTCCATGTGGTCAGTTCCATTCATTTCATTTCGTTTACATCACTCACGCTGAAGAGCACTTACTTGCTCCGGTACCTACTGCTAATGGTCACGGTCTGAACCTCGCACGGTCTGAACCTCGTTGTAAAAATGGTTAAGAGCAGACTTATTTGTTTGGTGAGTCATTGTAAATGAAAAGGAAAACCACCTTCCCGAACTTTCCCTGAGATCTCAGCACCTTTGCATCAGCGTGGGTTGCTTCGGATGTAGTTTTGCCACAAGACGTCTTTTGCTGCAGTGTTTCCAACAGGAAAAGCTATTCTGATGAGCTTGAACCTGTAGTCCACTGAAAAATCATAATGATGACCAAGTAAAAATGAAAGAAAAAAGTGTTGATTACTTGAACTGCCAGCTCAGTTTCCATTAGAAGAGGTCTTTATTTCTTCACTCATGAAAATCCTGCCCAGCAATTATTTTCTCCTTATGCGAAGCCTTCCCATGGAGCTCATTACCAGGAGCTCAAGTACATTAATCAACGGAATTGATTTGTTCATATAAAGCAAAACATATTCTGCTTTTGTCAACTACGTAAATGGCATTTGCCCTTGATGCCTCTCTGTTGATTTTTCCAGGCATTTGATTTTTGTGAACTGCATTTCTGGGCCTGGTGACTTCAGCCCCGTTGTGGTTCAGAGCAGCACGCCGGCCTCCCAGAGTTTCGCGGGCCCTTTTTTCTTTGTTTGCGTCAGTAATCCCGGTTGGGCTCGCTCGGAAGTTCCTGCTCAGAAGCTCCCTCCCACGCATCACGGTGCCCTTCCCGATGCTGTTCAAGCTCCCTCGTGCACTGTGGTTGCTACACGAGCCTCTTCCATCGCGGTTTACTTTCCCATCTTTCCTTCCTTCCCTTTCACTTTATTTCTTCCTTCTCCATCTTCTGTGCTCTTCTTACCTTCCTCTCACTCACCTGCACCTGCCCTCGCTGCCTTTTCCAGGCTGCTTGTCCCCAGGTTGACGTCAGCAGAGGGTGGTGCTATCCCGGGTTTAATCACTACCGAGGGGAGCCCTTAAGACCAAGTAAGCACTCACCCCTGCCCCATTCTTTGACCTGACCCTTTTCGTGCTACCTGCTTTCTGTCTTAGGTTGAACAAGTATTATGCTCTCCAAGTGGCCACCAGTGGCTATTAAGCATGTGAAACGTGGCTGGTCCACAGCAAGAGGTGCTGTAGGTGTAAAACACACTGGATTTCGAGGTCTTCGTGTGAAAAGGAAGAATTAATTTTTTAAAATATCATTAATTTTAAAAATATCGATCACGTGTTGAAGTAATAATATTTTGGATAAATTAGGTTAAATAAAATAAATTACTAAAATATCTTCCACTTGTTCCTTATTACTTTTTAAAATGTAGCTACTAGGTAACTTGAAATTGCACATGTGGCTCACATCTGTGGCTCTCGCTCTGTTTCTCTTGGGCAGCACATGTACAAGTCTTTCTTTGAATGGTTGCTCAGAACTTGCCATTTTCCAAACGCTAAGGGCTCAGAGCTTTCTTTTGACGCCATTACGACTTCTTTGTTCTTATTTACTTTTGCTCCTTAGAAACGGGAATAGTATGTCTTAAAGACAAGAAAATATATATATATATACTTCTGCTAATTTATTTTAAATTTAATTTAAAAGGGAGAAAAACCCCCGTAGCCACATCTTATCCGTGGATAGATTTTGGTCTATAATGATATCCAGATTTAAAAAATGAGCCCAGCCCTTCTCTCATTTTTGTTCTTGAGCTTCCCTTAGTATTCTTGATGGGTCAGGCCACTAAATGCCTATTACCAGGTCCCTATGCCCCACGTGATCTTGTCTAAGCCCCCTCCCCACTTCCTCCAGAGCTGCTTGGACCTGACTCTGGGACAACCAACAGGGAGACCAATGAGCCAGAGATACGAAACCATGAGCTGGGCCCATCAGCATGTTTTTCTGATCTGGAATTAGGAAAGAATAAGGCTGTTATCTGTAGGACATGAAGATGAAAAGATGCTAAGGGAAGCAATCGAGGCCATGTGTGGCTGTGGGCAGCCAAACTTATAAGGGAAACAGTATGAGTAAACAGGATTTGTGAGCAGGGAAACCTATCTATGGAGAAGCATGTAAGATGGACAAGATAAGAGTGACAGTAAGCAAGTTGGTAATGACAGGGAGAAACAGACCTGTGGAGATCAGCTGATTTATCCCAACGACAGGTGTCTTAGTCTGATCCGGCTGCTGTAACTGAAATACCACAGACTAGATAGCTTACAGAACATCATTATGAGTTTCCTCTCATTGAGACTATTTGAGTAGCTCTCTTTTTCATGTAACCAGAATCTAAAGGAAGCACCACCTTCATTTTTCATAATTTTTAGAGTTAATGTCTTCTTTCCCCACTAAAATAGCTCTGAGCTTTAGAAACTTTCCAGCCCCTTCCCACTCGCACTTTTCTGTTAAGTCCACACAGAATTTTAACCAACCTACGCAAACCCTAGTCTTTTTTAATTCTTAAAATGACCCTTCATCAATTGCCCTAAACCAAATAATTTGATATAACTTTAAGATTGTTAAATTTTATTTGCTTTTGTGTATATTAAGAGGAGGATGATCTCTTAATTTTGTCATTGAACATACTTGCAATTCTTGCCAAGCAGGTTAGAATTCTGCTTTCCTTTGAAGTTCACTATCGGTGCTAATTAGTGAGTCAGAGACTTGGTGTAAAAAGTATAAGAACTTACTATAAGGTGTCAAATAAAAATTGTCTCTTGCCATCAGCCTCTACAAGGATGAGGTCAGTAGCCACTGCATTTGCTGACTTTCAACACACCCTGAAAGGAGTTCAGGGCAGAGATCAGGAATGAGGCCCTCTGTGCTCTGGGAAAAACTGGCAGAACAGGTCTTCAGACAGATATTTTCAAGAGAAGATTTTATGAGCCCACATTCTTGCATCTTCTCCTATCTAGAAAAGCGCTAAAATCATTAATGGAGGCGTCTGCTCCTTGTGACTAGCAGCTAGCCTCTGCCAAAATGCGTGCTTGACTGCACATACCCCCATCACTAAAGTCATATACAATACTGACTTTCCCCCCTACCTCTCCGGAGCAGTTCCTCAGAGCTATCTGAGAGGCTGTATCCCAGGCTACAGTCCTCATTTTGCCCTGAATAAAACTTAACTCACAACTCTCACGTTGTCCATTTTTTTTCCGTTGATGGTTTTGACACCAACAAAGGGACCCAGAGCAGACTTCTCTGCTTTGCCTGAACTCTGCGAAGAACCAGAGCCTTGGCACCAGCAGAAGCCCTTGGGCCCATCCACCTCCGCAGAGAATCCAGAGGAATTTGGGTGAGTCTCTCCTGGTTCTCAGATCTCCTGTATTGGTTGTTGATCCTGAGTTTTATTTGGTGGTATATAATAAGTACCTGGCCCCTCAGTTGAAGGATACGGGGGTGGGGGGTGGTTTGAAAGACACCCAGCAAATGTCCGTCCAATTGAAAGATGCCTGACGGGGGTGCTGGTTGAGACAGTGGGGAAATACCCACACAGTTGAAAGATTCTGGTGGCGGGGGCTGCTTGAAAGACACTGGGGTTTGCTGAGTTGAAAGACACTGAGTGGTCTGGGCTGAGTGGTTAGGTAAGAGGCTGCTCTGATGCCTTTCCTCAGTTTGGCTGCCTTAACAAGATTTGTTGGAATAAAAGTGAAGGTGTTACGTGAAACCTTTGCTCTGAAGAAGAAGGACAAGACTCCTCCTGGTCAATTACCAATTACAACTTTCTTAGGCAACTGAGAAATTTATGGGAACGGTGAAGGCAGAGTCCTCATTCTGTGTAGTGGTCCCATAGGGAAACCCGCTCATTAATTGAAAGACTTGCTCAACCAGAGGTCACGCATAAGAACTGGCCATTCAGTGATCTGAGCACCCACTGTGGTCTTAGACCACCGAAGGAAGAACTGAGCCCCAAAAGAGGGCTGAAATGACTCTAGAGTGGTGCTTAGAGGAGTTAGGCTCACAAGCAGCATGCTGGGCCACCACACAATTTCATCTTTAAATTCAGCTTTAAAATGGGAAATAGAGACCTCAAACAGGGAAGCGAGGGGTGTCAGAAAGCTAGCCTCTGACTAACACCCCAGCCAGGTTTATGTATGTACAAAACTTATACTTACAAGTACTCACTTAATTGGAAATTAAAGGAAAATTTTGCCCTGAAAATGGACAAAATGGGCTATTTTATTGCGTTTGCAGTTGTTAGAGAAAACGGGCTTGAAAATAATTTTTTTTCTCCAGAATTCTGACCCTGAGGGAACAAATCCTTCTAGAAGAACTTGCTTTTCTTTCCCTGCACCTTGAGACCAGGGTTCTCAGGACCACTTATCTTATCTAGATCATCTCTAATTCCTGAGACAGAGGGAAAAAGGGGGAAAAGGCCTTTTAAAATTTAACTTATTCCAACTGTTATAAACTAGTGAGTTTTATATTGTACCACTTGATCCTTGACTAAGTTTAGAAAATGTAGCCATGACATCTCTGGTTCTATCTGTCTATATGTGTGCATTATGTATATGTCTTTACCTTTGGATGGTATTATCAAAATTAATTTGTAATTGAGTTCTACTTAATTGGCTTAAAGAAAATTAAGCGCTGATATAAATTCTCAGAAATATGAAAGGAAACTGACCAGAATGAATTTCAGGTTCACGTGAACAGGGAAATATTCAGTGTTAAATTAATACCAGATATTAAAGTTAAAGCTTGTTGATTTAATAGGCATGTCTTTAAAATAATCAACATTAAGTATGCTACCTTTATTTTACCTAGGTTTAATAGAAGTCAAATGGGATCTTATTATATGTCTTGCAAATTTGTCAGCAAGAAAAATAACTTGATACAATGAAATTTTTTATAAGTAAATTAAATGTAAATGAGATAAGAACTCTTTAGGAATAGTTATATTTTAGGAATGTCTACTTAAAAATATTCCCTCCACAGACTTCCCTGGTTGTCCAGTGGTTAAGACTTCATGCTTCCACTGCAGGGGGCGT